GAGCACCTTTTCCCCATTTTTATCACAGAATAAGACAGGAAATATATTTTATAGTTTCTATAGGCTACTAAATGATATGTCAATCAGTACTGCATTATTCATATAGTTTATTTATTACCTGGAGATAACTTGAAAAACACACATAAACTGTATATATTTTTGCAGTCGTGTGTTTATTGTCTTCACGTTTTTTCTGCTTTTTATTCAGCTCGGCTACAGCTATAGCAGGATGCTTTTGTCCATTTTAGGGATTTCCTGCACGTCATAAGTGATTCCTTCTATGAGTCTGTTTTGGACTTTCTTCACGAGAGCGTCCTCCGGCTTCGAGTATGAAATAAACACACACTGCATCCAGATATTCACTTCTCATTTGGATACGAATAAAACGTCAGGTCATGCATAGACTATCAATACGGTCTCTTTGAATTTAAATCTAGATTTAAATCTAGAAACCTCTATGTGAACACTCCTGCCCGAATAAAATGCGGGGAACGAATTTACATTTCATTAAAATTAAATATAAAAAATGCAGCTAGCGTTCTACACACAGCAATATAAACAAAGGTGCCTGTTCTCTTTCGTTCTTGCTGTTGGATTGGGAAAAGTTTAAAGGGTGTCAAGGGGTCTTGTCTTTATGTTGTCTGACTAAAAGCTATTAACTTTGAACTTTTATTATTACAGTATTTATTTTTTTGGATACGAATAAAACGTCAGGTCATGCATAGACTATCAATACGGTCTCTTTGAATTTAAATCTAGATTTAAATCTAGAAACCTCTACGTGAACACACCTGCCCGAATAAAATGCGGGGGACGAATTTACAATTCATTCAAATTAAATATTAAAAAAGCATCTAACGTTCTACACACAGTAATATAAACAAAGGTGCCTGTTCTCTTTCGTTCTTGCTGTTGGATTGGGAAAAGTTTAAAGGGTGTCAAGGGGTCTTGTCTTTATGTTGTCTGACTAAAAGCTATTAACTTTGAACTTTTATTATTACAGTATTTATTTTAAAAACGTAGAGTGCCTTAAAAATAATTATCACAACACTGATAAAACAGGCTTATACTGATTTTCTCATCCTCTGATTTATACTTATCAATCCTGTTTTTATTATCATTATTATTCAAAAAATGAATAAATTCAGAACAGGATTAGAATAGAATTCTATTTTAAATAAGACAGAAATATTTTTTTTCTACAACAACCACAGTAGTGTTTACAACAGCAAAACCACCACACCCTGTAAACTCAATAATAATAATAATAATAATAATAATAGTCCTAATATAATTCCGCTTCTAATTCCAGAGTGATTAAGAGGTGCAAAGAAAAATGTCTTTAACTTTTAAACTTAAAATGGTCTTTTCTGTTCTGTTTCTTTTTCAAAACTGTGTCAGGGCATTTGCTGCTGTATCAATACAGAAGCATCCGTTTCGATACACGTCTCAGCAAGTAGTACAGCCCTATTAAAAGCCGTGCTCCATGTGCCCCTTTTATACTTTGAGCACCTGCCCCTCCAAAGGTCTCTGCATGGCCCTGCAATCCTGGGTTTTAGGTACCGAAAGGGTATGAAAGTGGCTTGGCTTTTAGTAGCGTTCATTGCCATAGTACCTTACACTCCACAGCTAACCTGCGGGGCAAGTTATATTCTGGGAAAGAGATCTAAACTAAACTAAAATTGGACCAATCAGATGTGAGCAAAGTGAAACATGTCTGACAAAAAAAAAAAAAAAAAAAGTAACTCCCCCAGTTTCTTTTCCTCCAA